CGTTAAAATTATACCTCTGACAAAATCAACTTATCGATTCTCGTCAATAGAACGATAAGTCCTCAAAATTGCCCTGATCGCAATATTTCTCCTGTCACGTTAAAATTACACCTCTGACAAAAATCAACTTATCGATTCTCGTCAATAGAACGATAAGTCCTCAAAATTGCCCTGATCGCAATATTTCTCCTGTCACGTTAAAATTATACCTCTGACAAAATCAACTTATCGATTCTCGTCAATAGAACGATAAGTCCTCAAAATTACCCTGATCGCAATATTTCTCCTGTCACGTTAAAATTACACCTCTGACAAAAATCAACTTATCGATTCTCGTCAATAGAACGATAAGTCCTCAAAATTGCCCTAATCGCAATATTTCTCTTGTCACGTTAAAATTACACCTCTGACAAAAATCAACTTATCGATTCTCGTCAATAGAACGATAAGTCCTCAAAATTGCCTAGATCGCAATGATCCCCCTGCCAAGTTAAAACTATACCTCTGGCACACCCAGATTTCTTTCAGTGATCAAAACAGAAATAACACAGGAAGAATTCTATTAGTCAACCCCATTATGGGAATATTCGTCCTCAACAGTTTGAAACTTTCTAGAGTTGTCTTAAACGATAATAAAGAGAGTCCTCTGCATCAGAACCATTGTGGAGATCTATTCTAAGTCAGGAATACATCTCAGGTATTTCTCGTGTGTTGTATTTAAAATCAAAACATGATAAATGCAAGAAATAATGAGAGACCAATATCACTTTTTATTTAAGATGCAAGAAATAATGAGAGACCAATATCACTTTTTATTTAAGAACTAAAAGAAAGTGATACAAAAAAAAAACTTTGTTCTTGTCAAAAGAACATTACAGAAGCCAAACTCACTCACGTATCAAATCAAAAGAGATGAGTTGAGCCTTGAGTTCAGCTAGCTCCGCCTCGTGGTTAGCTCGCACCATAGCTTCAGCCTTTGCTCGGAGTTCATCCTCACTTGGTATGATGATGGCCGCCACTTCCTTCCTGGCGTCTTCTAGGGCTTGAGCTTGTGCATGATACTCTAAAGTACCAGTTGTATTCTGGGTACTAAGGATGTTGACAACGCCTTCTTCGCGGGAGAGTTCAGCTTTCAATCGCAGGACTTCGGCTTCAGCTTCAACTAGTCTGTCCCGAAGCAAATTCATGGAAGCAGTTGAGCGTTCTAGTTCTTCTCGCTTCTGAATGTTACGCTCACGAAGCTCTGTGATCTGACGCTCTTTTTCAGCTAAGTTCCGTTCTAGTGTTTCCCGGTGTATCACTTCAGCGACCTGAAGACTAGCCAAAGTGGACATAATTTGCGGCTGAAGATCACTATAGCCCATGGTCTCGAGGCGTTGTAATTTCTCCTCCAAACGAAGGATAATCTCTGAGTAGCGTTCGAACCATTGAGTTTCGCCCACGCTCCTGACTCCATTTAAGCCTGCTTCCAGAAGAGGTCGAAAGGAATTCAAAGTTCCTTGACCATTCATCAGGGACTCAACTACCGTCTTCGCAAGACTGTTTAGATACACCAAAGAGATTTGAAGGAATTTAGGTGCATTAGCGAGACTGAAAACTGCACCCGAAGATACCCCTTCAGCAGCTGAGATTGATGCGTTAAGATGATGACTAGCAGGCGATCCAGGTGCCGAAGCCGCAGAGGCAATTGAAATGTTCAATTGCGAAGGACTTGAGGTCAAAGCCATCAATGCCTTCGCCTGAGATGAGCTTGGCCCAGCCTCCGTTCGGGTGAGCGAGATCTTCATCACCGCTTTCGGTGAAGTAGCTACTACGGAAGAGTCTTGTAAGGTTTGCCCCTGCAAAGGAGCCGACACCTGCACGACCGCCTGTTCCAGAGGAGAAGTCGTAGCAGTAGTTTCAGGCAACGCTACAGGTGAAACAGTCGCCGTAGGAGAGCCAGATAAATGTGGCTCTTGTGGAGGAGCCAACACTTGCGCAGGTTCTTGCTCTAAAGGAGCAGCTGAAGTAGTCCCGGGAGTAGGTGAACCTGCACGAAAAAACGGTCGGAACGCAGAAAAAGCATGTGGAAGAAGTCGAAACAAACCAAGCTTACCGGTAAGATAAAAAGGAGTATAACCTGATGCTTTATCAGACGGGACCTTGGGAGCATCATCATCAAAAGTGGTGACGTCATCGATGGAATCATGCTCATCGTCATCTTCACCGTCACCTGACATGTTGCCAACATCAGCGTCCTCATCGCCTCTATTTCCATCAGCTGCATCACCAGCTGGGGAGTCGTCATAATCAACTCGCTCCTCATCATCCTGAACAGCTGAAGACTCCGGAAGACTTGCACCAGCGGCTGGTCTTTTCATAAGTCCCGTTGTAGGACTAGGCATTAAATCATCAGCTTGTGACATTAATGCTGAAGGAGAAGGAGGTGGATTATCTTCAAGACCCCCTGGTTCCAATGCAGGAGACCTAGGAAGATCCATCACCGGAGCAGATTCTGCATCTGCAACCATTAATTCATCTTCTTCGTCCTCAGGAGGATGATAAGAAGAACCTTCGCCCGACAGAGCTGGACCATGAGAACGAAGTCCCGCTCTATGCGGCAGGCCAGCCACAGATGATTCCTGTGGTTCGTCATCTTTAGCAGCTTTAATGGCCTCAGCCATCAACTTGGATTTTTGTTGGCCTCTGGGGGGACTTCTGTTGGCCTTTGGGGGGAGAATCAACCAGAAGTTTCCGACGAATTTGCTTATCATATTTGCCGGCCTCATCTGCAGAGAGTTTTCTTTTCCCCGCCGCTCTTGTCACGGGAGGATCAACCACTCGTTGCTCTTCCCCTGGAGCAGGCTCAGCTGTCTATTCCTCTTCTTGTCCAGCAGATTGATCCTCGATGGACAAAAACTCATCAATCCCTTTCAAACGGGATGTCTTGGACCCCTTCCTTAAATTATACATATGCCTAATGTCTTTCAGGCAAGATGTATTCAAGTTGTAGTTGGGAGTCTGAGAAGCGGCGTAATACCAATTGCAGAAGCTGATGGAGGTATAGGAGTTAGCAGTTTTGTGGGGAAGCTTGAAGACGGCTTTGGTACAACCTGCTACAGAATAATACCAAGCCCTGGCCCCTTCATATAAATTGCCTATAACTGAGAGCTGAGAACGAGGGTTCCCGACATACAACTGATCATACCCAAATTGGCGAGCGAACCTGTAGGGTTGGTAAGGCTCGACGAAACAGTTGGCGCCTTGTCGAAAGATCAGGTAGCCTGGCCTGATGGATAAAAGCCAATGGAAAACCCCCCCGCTCAGCTGAGTGAATCCATTAGGACCCGCCGTATCCTGATATTCTGCCCCATAGACGCCGCCCTCGAAATCAGGAAAACAGCGGTAGATATGGAAGTTGGTGTCTCGCGCAAGGATTTGGCGAATTCTAACCATGTAACCCCCCTCCCATTTCGCAGATTCTAGTCGCTGCACAAATGGGATGAATGAGTCTTCCGGGGGAGAGGCTGCACTCATCAAAGGAGGACAGTGAAGCACGTACCAAGCCATCAAATAGGCATATGGCATTGGTACCCTGGGATTGGGAGTTTTGAAAGTCTTGTGACCCTCAGACTCCACCTCTGTAACACCAACGAAGTCAGAGGCCAACTCCCGCAGTCCATACTGTAAGCAACCCACCATGGCGCTGAGGAGGCTCACAGGTCTCCCATGTGCCAAGAGAACAGCCGGGTAGACCACCTCAATAGCAAGGGCATCGACCGGCCTGGTAGGAACGACGCAACGCTTGAGCCACAGCATCAAGAATCCAGCCAGCAACGCCGCGTCGGAAATTGGAATCAGAGCTTGATAATGAAAGCTCTCAAACTCTGTGTGAGCCGGGAAAACATCTTCCTTGGCCTCGTTAGTGTAATGGGAGGTAGCGTCGTCAATACGAGCCTGAACCTCTTCCAAAGTACTGACAGGCAATCGGGTCACAGAGCCTCCTTTAATGGTCAAGTTCCGGAATAAATATTCCGCCCAAGACACTTGTTTGATGCCGCTTCCGCGAGCCCCAGTCAGCTGCATGCAGATATGAAAGTGACACATCACTTCCCAGAGAGTGGCGTAAATTTCTGGGCTGGTCTTCTTCAAAAGTTGGAGTTCCGCAGATCCCGGAACAAATTCTTCGTATGGTAAATCCCCGAGAATAAGACCTGAGACTTCGTGCATCTCGTGAAGAGCAAAGCCTAACTCCCCCACAGGGGTGAAGAAAGTGCAAGTCTCGGGACTATACTTCTCCAATATAGAGAAGAAGTGAAAGTGGCTCTGAATAATCCCAAACTTAGTAGCCCGCACTGGAACCAGTAATCCAACTTGGGCAAGAGGGGTTTCTAATTCCTCCAGAACAAACTTGGTCATCTGGGCCCACCACCCTGTCACTGGAGAATGAACCCAACCAGGAGCTCTAAATCCTTGTGCGGGGAATTCTCCTTTCTTTTCCAAAAACCTCTTAACAAAGGTCTTCGCCGGGCTGGGCACTTCGCCAAGGGGATACTTCTTAGCAAATAAACTCGGCCGCAAAGCTGTCACCTGCCGGTTATAACCAACTGTGCGGACCCCGTGAAAAGTCAAAGTCCCGAGAGCAACCCCATCTTGATCCTTAACCAGGGGCCAATCCATATGCCTTGGGACAGAAGCACACTGGAAATAAGATATGGGGAACATCCTCTCCATATTGGGCAAGAAAAGGTTGCGGTCCCCAACTTTCCGCAACCACTTATAGTCCCCATCATAAGCAGTGCTTGCGTCGAAGTCAACAAAGTCCCCGAAAAGATATCCAGGTTTGACTATTGGCTTACGGCTTGGGCTTTCAAGTCGGGCGTCCGTAACCAATGTCCTAAGAGTATCGGAAGAAGCTTGGGTAATTATTTCTACGCGACTCTTCTCCCTAATTCGGAAAACTGGGAGTTCATTGCGGTAAGCTACAAGGCGCATGTTTTCATGGTCGCGGCACACCGTACATGCCCAAAATGGTGGGCGAAAAAGAAAGAGGTTCAGCTGGTATGCGGCAGCTGGCAAAGGAAGGAAGAGAGTTAGACAAGCATGCAAAGCAAGGATTCAGACGGCGAGGGTCGAAACGGCCCGCGTCAGATAAGCTCAAGATGGCCCGAAGGTCGAGCCGCGACCGCGTCAAATAGTTCCAGACGCGGAAAAGGTCGAGCGCCCGCGTAGATAAGGTTCAAGACGCGGCAGCGTCGACGGCCGCCTCGCGTCAAAAAATCTGAAACGGCGAGAGGTTGAAGGCCCCGGCGTTAGAATACACAAAGACGGAGTGCCGGCCGCGAGCAGTTATTGAAGACGAGTTTCCTCGTTGATCTGCAAGCATCAGAATGACTTGCCGAAGCCAAGTTTTAATGGCCTACGGAGGTCTATACTCACCGCCAAATTAAAGGGAGTTGGGGCGGCACTTGTCGCCTCTGAGCAACGAACAAGCTGCCCGCCGACCGGTCACGCTGACGGTGCCGGATCCTTGAGCCGCAAGCAGGCATCCGACTTGGGAGCGACGGGCTTCTTGGGGTGTGCCATGGAGATCTCCGTCGGAGGAGATGAGGCCAGTGTTCGCCCGGTAGATGAGAACGAAATTTTTTTTTGTTAGAAATTTCAGAAGTGAGTCGAATTGACTGCTTGGATTTGACCCCTAGCGGTCTATTTATAGACAGCTATGAGCTGTCAAATCGTAACGGACGGGATTCGAGGTCAGGATCACGCCCAAACTCGACCCTCGCGTTCGAGTTGTTTGAGCTTCCAAACGCGATGCCCGCCTTCGCGTTCAAATTTCCCAATGCTGGGCTCACCCACGCGTTCTAATCCCCAAAGGCAGAAATTATCTCTGTGTTTAGACCGCTATGATAGCAGCTTCTTGACTACCAAGGCTATGACACAGCCCCAGATGAATAAAAGAAGAGCTAACAGCAATCGTCAAGGCGACCAAAGCCGAGAAGAAACAAACGACTCCACTGGGGAGTCTATTGGAGGAGTACAGATAGATTACAACCGATAATGGCGAAATCATCTGACTCGATCAGACGGAGGGAGCAATCAATCTACTAAATTTTGAGATCCAAAGTATTCTGAAAATTCGTCCCAGTCAACCGCGAACTTTCAAAAACTTTGGAGGGGGTTCTGTAGGCTGTCTAAAAATCACAATGAATAGCTGACCCCTATCAAGCTCCGACAAGGGAAGTCACAATCAGACGACTTTCTAATCACTGCATCCGCAACTCCACAATCCCTCATTTCTGAGATGATTGATCTTGATGGCTGCGACAACAGCACGACTAATATTATATTAGCAATTATTGGAGATGCTGATGAGCAGTGTAATGATTTTAGAAATATTGGACTTAGTTGGTGAGTTGCTTGGTAGAGAGCTGTGGGCAATTATCCATCTAAAGACACTATGGATGTTGATTCCCGTCAAGTTCCTACAACGAAAGCTACAATCAAATAGCTTTCGCGTCGACAATCGAAAGCGGCAAATAGAGGACTTTTCACATAAGATCGAGAAGAGTTACAATTCAACGACACTTCCGACAACTGATGAAAACTCTATTCAGCAGTCTTCACATTTTGCAGTGAAAGTTACAATCTGACGACTTTCACATCCTACAACAGTTAAAGCCAAGATTACCGAACAACGGTCCTCGCAACGCTTCACAGAAGAAGTTACAAGTCAAAAAGCTCCTTCTGAAACGTGGATGTCATCCCCGCGTTACAACTTGGGAAGTGCAGGCCACCCCCGCGTCTCCAAGATACAAGCTGAACGTGAGCGACCCTCGCGTTCGTAGGGGTCCAACCAACACCGACCCCCGCGTTTCCAAGCAGGCAACAAGCCAAAACGCGAGCGACCCTCGCGTTCAATGATGTTCAGCTAACACCCAACCTCGCGTCTCAATTCTAAGAGGCGAAGTTGGGTGCTAAACGCCAGATTGGGCGTTTGACTCGTTCAAACACGAGTTGAACGGTTTCAGAACCGTTTATCCCACGATCTGAGGGATTTTCGCCCACGTAGGAGCGGATATAGGGGATAGTTGCAACCTCCTATCCCCCTATAAAAACTCAACAAACTCAACTGAGTTAGAGTTCGATTTTCTTGACTCAGATCGACCACAGGATACTGGCGGAAGGTTGGATTTTTGGCATCTGAACCACATAGGTTGGATTCTAAAGATCTAAACCGTACAGCAGCAGCGAAATCCTTGGAGATAGGATTTTTGAATCACACTCAGAAGATCAAATCTGGGAGGATTCTTCTACAACAGAATAACAGCTTGATCATTAACCGAATTTTCGGTTCTAACAACTCTATTCACAGAGTTCTAACTCGTTCAGAGTTCTTAAACTCATTCAGAGTTAAACATTAACTTTTCCACAGAAGTTCATCATTCCCACGAGATAAGAGACGGTCGGATCGTCAACGGAGAGCAAATTCGACACGAGCAATTCGAAGGAGGCATTCCATCGCTACCGAGAAGAACCCAGTTTTAAACAAAGGAGAGAATCAAACTCGTTCTCTCCTCTTTTGTAATCAAGTTGTAATCGAGATCAAAGGAATCCAAGTCAATTTTCTTTATTCTCTTCTTTGCAATTTTCCCAACCTACAGATTCATCAAAGAAGCGGTGACTCCTGGAAGAAGCTGAAGTCTCCACTGAGCCGTGAGGGTCATGATTACCGGCAATCGGCTCAAAGCATCTGGTACTATATTGACTTTCCAGGGTGGTACTGAAGATCAATATCGTAATTTGCCATCAGCTCTAACCATCAGCGTTGCCTCATGTTGAGCTCCTTCTGAGTAAATAGGGATAGAGATAAAATCCCCCAAACGTGAAATGTATGGATTTTGATGCTGAAGAACTGTGTTGTGTCTTCTCTTGGGGCAAAGACGAACCTTGTGCTGGAGAGGGAAAATTTTATATTCTATCTCCAGGTGTAAAAGAAACTCGAAGTAAGATCTCCACTTCGAGAATCTGAAGGATAAAACTAAGAGTGAGATCTCAACTCTGAGAATCGAAAAGATTTAGATAACCCTAACTGTTTAATTGTTTAGTTATCTAATCTGACAATGAATTTCTCGTTTATCGAGATAAAATTCTAACTTTAGCCCTAACTGTTTAAAGGTTTGGCCAAAGGGGAGATTGAGATGATCCTAACTGTTTAAAGGTTTGATCACTCGATATGGGTGGAAGCCTCTTGTTTATCAAAATAGGATTTCGGTTTTGGTTCTAATTGTTTAAAGGTTTGATGACCAAGATGGATTTTGAGACGATCCTAACTGTTTAAAGGTTTGATCGTTTAATTCGTGAACCTCTCGTTCATGGAAGCAATCGAGAGGGGATTTTAGCTTTAGCCCTAACTGTTTAAAGGTTTGACCGAAGGGAGTTTGAAATGATCCTAACTGTTTAAAGATTTGATCATTTAATTTGTGGATCTCTTGTTCATGAAGGAATCGAGAGGGGGTTTTGGCTTTGGCCCTAACTGTTTAAAGGTTTGACCGAATGGAGTTTGAGACGATCCTAACTGTTTAAAGGTTTGATCGTTCAATTTGTTGACCTCTCATTCATGGAAGGAATCGAGAGGGGATTTTGGCTTTGGCCCTAACTGTTTAAAAGTTTGACCGAAGGGAGTTTAAGACGATCTTAACTGTTTAAAGGTTTGATCATTTAATTTATGGACCTCTCGTTTATGGAAGGAATCGATAGGGGATTTTGGCTTTGACCCTAACTATTTAAGGGTTTTACCAAAAGGAGTTAGGTGGTACTAACAATGGAAGTGTCGATTTACAAAAATCACTGTGTCAATATAGTGGGAGTTTCTGGTGTTAAGTTATAAGGACTTTAACACAACAGGGTTTGAAACTTTCAATACTGTATCCGGACTCTAACAATAGAAGTGTTGAGTGTACATACATAGCTGGAGTTTGAGTGGATCAAACCAGACATAAATTTTAATGGACCCACTGTCAATTGATTTGATCAGTGAGGAATTAAGCACTCCACAATTAGATCATGGGAGTTTCGTGAGGAAAGATTGACCGGATAAAGTCATTGAATCTCATCTTGACGAAAGAGTGCTTGAGAAATCACAGATGGAGGGTTTTAATAATCGTGAAAATGATTAAATAGCCAGAGTAGAAGGTTCTTAATCATTCTTTATCATGATTAAGAATTTATTGGTTTTGGGTTATCCTTAAGAATACCATGTGTAGTATTCTCCAGGAACTTCCCATCAAAGATAGGGAACAGTTTGACCTCGTGTAGCAGTTGGAGGTTTGGGAAATAGTTTAGCCTCGTGTACCAATTGGAGGTTTGGGAAATAGTTTATACTCGTATACCTTGTTGGAGTAGATGAAGAAGCAGTATATACCCGTATACTCTTTAGAGTCTACACAGTGATTATTTGGCTTGTTTTTGTGTTATGACACCGGAGTCAATTAAGGCTTGGATTTTGTTTTTAAGGCCAAAGATAACCTTGGTGGGATGGACAACCTTCCTGTGGTATGCACAGTATTTTAGATCCGTAATCCTCTTAGCTCCTTCCTGGTCTTTAATAAGCAGTAGTTCGATCTTGTAGTTGGCGAGGAGGTATTTCAAGATGGCTAGAACTTCCTCATCCTGGAAGGAGTACTCTTTTTGGAGTCTTAGATCTGGGGTTCTTTGCTGTTTCTGAGGTGGTTGTTGTTATGACGTTTGATTAACATCAACAACAACCCTGTTTAAAGGTTTGATCGTTCAATTTGTTGACCTCTCATTCATGGAAGGAATCGAGAGGGGATTTTGGCTTTGGCCCTAACTGTTTAAAAGTTTGACCGAAGGGAGTTTAAGACGATCTTAACTGTTTAAAGGTTTGATCATTTAATTTATGGACCTCTCGTTTATGGAAGGAATCGATAGGGGATTTTGGCTTTGACCCTAACTATTTAAGGGTTTTACCAAAAGGAGTTAGGTGGTACTAACAATGGAAGTGTCGATTTACAAAAATCACTGTGTCAATATAGTGGGAG